CCTTGACATCCTCAAAGTTGCCCGGTACGTAGGGGTTTAAAGGGAAGCCACAAAAGAACCAGTGATTTTCCTCAAAATATTCAGCTGGGGCCACAGCAATGAACTGTTAGTTCACGATTGTTCCCCCCCTGAGTGACGACAACCACGCGGACAACACCGGGACGCAACGGGACCAAGCCGAGAAAAGTAGTTGGAACCAGGGACACCGGCAATCGAAACACCGTCGACACCACCCAACCGGAACAGCAACTGGAACAGCAACCAAGACATCACTGGGCCAGCAATGTAAACACCACTGGGACGGGAGAATAGTGACATCTGGGAGGCCGACCAGGGCTTGATTGGGACACCACTCATAACACCACTGGGATACCCCTCGAACACCGCTATACCTTGAAAGTCGCCAAAAACTGCTGGGAAAAACCGGGATACCACCGGGCCGGAACACGACCGCAAATGCCACCGGGACACCGAGACACCACCACGCCCCAGATTTCAGGAGCACGAAGTCCCCATAGCTGGACGTTATTGGGGAACAAATGCTTAAATGGCCAGGCAGAGTGTGACCGCAGCTGGTTGCATGTTCAAGCTGTTTTCCGAGAACGCTATCCCATCCCCCCAGTCACGCTATAACAGCCCCATGTTTTATTCACTCGAAGCCAACTCAACATGTAATGGGGTCCCTCTCAATGATCTGCTTGACTTCAGCCTGGAAATATTTGTTCCCTTTGTGCGCTGCTCCGGTGCTCTTTTCAAAGCCTCATTTGGCTCAAATTCAGGTGCTCGCGGCGCAAGCCGAGCAAGCCGATCACTCACTTTCTGGCCGCTTCGTAGTTGGCAGCGAACCACTCCACCGACTCCTGGAAGGGTCAGGCAAAACCTCCGGGTGGAACCCCTATTGTTTGAGCAAGCTTTTGGTGTCTTATCGCTTCCTCGGAGAACACCCGCTTTTTTGTTTGAACAACATCCTCCTCTAAAGGACAAGCCTCCGGCTGCTAAGTAGCCAACCCTGCCTGGATCCCCTCCGCGATAGGCTTGAACTTGTAGTCCGGCAGGTAGCGTCTCAGCTTCTGGTTCGACGCGGTCTTCTTGAACTGACCATCTGCCTACGCGCAAAAATAGCCTACAGACCTACTGATGGACAACATCCGCTTCGCACCAGTTGGGATTGGTAGTTTATCAACCAGTGCACTCCCTCACAACAGCTCGTAAATGGTAGTGGGAGCTCCTCTGCTAGTCTGCGAGAGGGTAATCATAGAGTTTCGTCTCTCCCAACAGGTGCGAAAGAGACATTGTCCATCGACTGCATATGGCCTTGTCATTGGCTTCTCTTAGGCTCCAAGGATGGGGGCCCCTCCCCCAATAGCCGCTGGGGGCACGTGATCAAAGCAAGAGAGTTGCCCGTAGTGTTGAGCTCGATTTTTTAGCGTATTGCCGCCTAGGGGGCTATACAACTCCGTAAAACCCTTCCCTACCTGGGGAAAGAAACATTGGGGGAAGGCAAGCCCGTACCGATGTCGACCCTGAACTCGTGAGCCTGGTGGACAAAAATGGGGCTTTCCCAAAGTGAAGCATTGACTTTTGCTTTTGAATGGGACACCCCCATATTAATCAACCAGGGCTGTCCTGTGTCAACAATTAAAAAAATAAAAGCCCGCAAAATCCATGGCAAGACCCTTTGAGGACATCCGGCCTTGGCGGTGTCGTAGACCAGCTTGCCCTCAAAGCCAGAGGCTTTGCAAATCATCTGCGCCACGTCACCTCAGCCACCAAAACCAATTGACGTCTGATTCTGCCAAAAAGCGCAGGCCATACTGTCACCCCTTGCTGAACCACGTAGTGGAACCATCTACTCAACTAGCCTGTAGGGGTGTTGGGCGCTACTGAAATTGGAAACTCGCAAACGAAGCGAAATCAGAAACAGCATCTGGGCTCCGTTCCAGCTCCTGTACTGTAACGGTGCGAGGTGCTAAACACAGGGCAAACCTCCAAAGAAGGTGGGTCATCATGACAAGCCCTTGCGAAGTAGCCTTGAGGATGCAAAACAGTACCTTTGTGAAAAGGGGAAGGACATCGGGGCCATGTCAGGCAATGGCAACCTGATGCGACCGACGCGCACTCAAAAGTCTGGAAACATTGAGCATGATGTCCGCAAGAGGTGTTGTGGAAAAGTTGCCCCACACCAAACCTTTTTACCTCAAACTCCATTGCCACATCCAGGAGCTAATGGACACTTCGTCTTCCTCGCCCACGCTCAGGATGATGGGCGCGATTTCCTGCAGTTTGAACACTGCCAAACGTGCACCGCACTGCATCTGCGCGTGCGCTGCGGGGATGCGAGTGCGTGAACTCTGCCAAGCACTTTCTGACAGATGTATCCCTGGCAAAGTTGATAGGTCCGCCTAAAAAACATCAAACTCCAACTACTATATAAAACCAAGCAGGACCTAAGGGGGCAAACTGCAGGCGGTCCTTGTATTCTCGCAGGACCCACACGGTGAGTCGAGCAAGGTCCTCGGAGAAAATGAACTGCCTGGCCGGAATTCCAGAGGAGGGGCCCAGTGGCCGAGTCGGGTGCCGAGCTCACATTTGGAAATGATCGTTGGAAAGTGCCGAGCTCACATGGAGCTGCCTCTTGAGTCCTGCAAATCTTCGAGCACCACGCGCAAAAGGAAAAAATGTGGCAACTTCTGCTACTTTATGTTTCTTCCTTCTCCCAACCTTGTTCAGGTGTTCCACATTTTTCCATTGGTAGAAAGATGTACAAGGCTTGTCCACGATTTCACAGTTGCGTCCTGCAGTCTTCTTTTTCGCTCTTGGCTGTGGTTAGGCAAGCATATTGAGGGCATGTGTTCTCTCGTATTATTTTGAAGGGGGGTTCTTTGAGGGGGCCGGGCCTGTAACATCCCTGGAAAAGGCCCCACCGCTCCGTCCTGTGGTCTCCAAAGGCTAGGTTGAGACAAACCCACGTGTTTCCATGGCCGGTGTTGCCGAACCCCACTGGCTGTGCGCTGCTGCGCGGCACTTGGGTCAAAGGCTCGCTGGCAAGCGATCACGCAGTCATTGGCGAGTCGGCTTCCATATTGGATAGGTCGATCTGTTTTCCATAAGAAAGGTGCCCAGCTTTGGAAAATAATCAAGCTAAACAGTTCAATACCATGGGTGCACTTCCCTTTGACCGTGGTGTGGCTGTATCCTCGGTTGAATGTGAGCTTGGCTTGCGATTCTGCTACTTTTGGGCACGCCACGAAAGTCCTTCGTCTAGGAAGCTCTTCGACAAACCCATTTCGGGAGGAGTGCACCCGGCCAGCTAAAACTAGGGTGTGTGAGCCCCTCCAGTTCCTCATCTGCTTCTCTTCTTTTTGATGGGCAAATCAAAGGGCAGAGGGCTTAATTCGCGTCTTCGCGCTTCCTCCCACTTCGGTGCCTCCAAAACCTCCGAGTTCTTCGAGGCTAACCAAACCCTCGGCTCGCCTCATGGGCTTCCCGGAGCCCCACAGCACCATGTCCTCCCCCCGCTGCTTCGCCTCCAAGCCGCTGCACACGGCCAGATTTTCGCACCGGAAGCATTTGGCCAGCAGATAGGAAATGGGCCAAATGAAGCGCGAAATGTTTGCCGGTATGGTCAACAGCTTGAAAAAGCGGGGGAAGCTCCAAAAACCTTTTCCTGCGGAAGTTGACGGCCTTTTGTAGAAAAACGGGTAGTTTTCCGACACCTTGTGACGAGAATTGGTTCAATTTGGGTGACCAAGAGTCATTCGGATGCCATCTCAAGTCAGGCACCTCCAAATCCAACGCTGGTTAAGGAATGGGAGGGGGTGTCGAGTTTTGCAAGTTTTGCCGTTTTGTTTTGTTCCAATGGAAGTGGCTAGGGAGGTTTGGGACCTAAAAGAAAACTAGCCTTCCCATACCTTCCGATCAACATCCACAGGGAGGGTAGGCCCTATCACCACAATTCTGCCGAGCGGCCAAGTAGCACTTGTGGATCAAGCCAGGGATGACATGGCCGTTCTCGATGTTGAAGTTGTCATGTGGTCCATACACATTGGTCGGGATGAGGGAGGTGAACTGGCACCCATACTCTTCCTAAGGCTCGATTGCGCTTAAAAAGCAGCAGGGAACCCTTCACAAGGGATGGATTCTGCGTTTGCCTGAGGGGCAAGGCAAGAGGTTCGACCGGGCCTGTGCCACGGAACGGACTGCCCAGCCCAGTGCGGACGGCGGATACCCCTATAAACAATGTACAAACCTGGCAGACAGACATGCTACGATCAAACCGGAAGAAGCCCTTCAGCACCTGTCACACTCAGCGCGGGCGACTGCAGGGGAAGCAGCAAGCCTGTCAGCTGCAAGCAAAACCCGGGTAGATGAAGGGTAGGGGCAGTCCCAACCAGAGCTAGGCGCCGATATCCGCCCCGTTTGATTCCGACACGATTTTGAGTGGACCCCCCTTGTGGAACTTGAAGGGACCAAGGCTCGTTGTAGCAGTGATTCATGCAGTCCACCATCCGCTTGGCAATGGAGTAGCCCAAGTTCGAGCCGTGTGGAGGCCCATCGTGCAACATGGTCTCATCGATGGGGTAGGTGGTCTTGTCCGGAAAAATGCACGTGGACAAGCAACTGACCAACTTCTTGACGCCGTATATTCCTGGGCCAAACTAAGACACCGTGCGAAAAAGTCAGTTTCCTGCTGGCTGATGGAACAATAAGTCCGGCCATGTTTCTACAGCACTCCATGATGTTGTCGTTCATCAGCATGTTCTCTCTGAAGAACTCCACCTTCTTAGCCATGTTGTGAAAGAGCCCACCCACTCCTCAGCCGCATGCCATGCTTAGAGCGCGGTTCCCATGTGAGCGAAGCTGGTGCCTGGTGGCATGGTGGGAGCAGGCCGGGCCACCTCCAGCCACTGCTTCTATGATTAGTTGGCCTGGTTTCTTCTCCCTTTGAAGAAGTTCCCCTTCTTCTTTGGGCGGCTCAGTGAACCAGCCACGGGTAGTAGCGTGCAACTCTGGCTTCCTGATTAATACCCCTAGCTGGCATTTGGGGAGTGGGAAGGCAACCTTGCCTAGGGTGTAGCTCAAGACCCAACTGCACCCCCACACCTCCAGTGCCCATGAAAAAGAAAGAGGCACCTTTGTTGGCACTTTCATGGGGCTGTGCCAAGGTTCGCCCAGATACGCCTTCAATACGGCCGGGGGTTAAGAAGGCCATGGACCCCGACAGACTCCTTGATTTAGGGGGGAAACCCCTCAAAGAAAAAGAAAAGCATCACGCGGAGGGTGCAGGTGCCAATGCTGCCAAAAAACTTGCTGCCAAGTGGATGATGTGCCTCAGCGCCGAACAGCTCTTCGCTGAGCCGCCGATTCGGTTACAAGCCGCGGGCCCCACAAGCTCAACTCGACAAACCAAGACTACCACCAGCACCCCCCACTGCTTGTTGGACCGTACTTGGGATTTGGGACGGAAAAAGCAGTTGTCAGGGGGTGCTGGAACTTGAAGGACCAGTCGGACACAGAAAGGGCGCCTGCTATTCAACCCCTCGCCAAACGGATGCCTGGCTGATGCAGAGGTGGCTCCTGGTGTTCCTTCGCTCCTGCTTGCAAGGAAAGCTTCGATACCCGCAGCTCCGCAGCCCCCTTCCAGCCACCAACTGCAAAGACCTTCGAAACACCGTCACCCGCACGAGGCTGCAAGTTGCGAAAACTTGCTAGTTCCCAGCAGGGACTTCCATGGGAGGCCACGAGGGATGCTCCTTCCCTCATTCCCTCAAACCGCTTCGGCTAAAGTGACACCTTCTGGATTGCATGTTTTCTTCGCGAAAGAGAGGAACACCATTGTCACCCTACGTTTTGAGAACCTGGGCACCAACCCCCAGAAAAAAAGAAGAACAAACGGGGCGCCGACTCGCCCCCTTCCGAGGTGCGTGGGCTTGTGCTTCTCGAAGATGGCCTCCGTGGCCTTTCGGTCCACCAAGTCCCCGTCTTTGGAGGACAGGAAGACCCAAATCTCGCCCTTGGCCTCCTCATCCTGCCAAGGCGTGGGCCAACTTGTATCAACTAATGAGTGTTTAAACACCCTCCTGTTGGCGTCCCACAAACTGAGCAAGAAAACTAGACAAGAAAACTTGAGCATCTTGTCCAACCCTTCCTGAAAAGGCTCGCAATCGTATGAAGCAGGTGCATCTCTCCAGGGCTCTCGTGTTTCGTTTGGTGGGTAATTAAGTTCGGCACAATGTTGAACTTGCCCTTCTTGTGTTTCACTGTTTGAGGGTTTTGCTTGTGCTTGCTAGTGGGCTTCGCTTGGTGGATTGTGGGGGGTCGGGGGGTGTTTGCTGGCTACCGGTGGGTCTTGTTCGGTGGTTGGTGGTGGATGGCTTTGGGTGAACAAAGCTCAACATTTTGTTCATCACGCTGCCCCTTCGGGGCACAACAAGTCAATCATGTCCGTTGCGTGCGTCTCGCAGCGAGTAGCTTTTTTTAACATCTGCTGTCCCAACCTGAGTTTCTGCAGGGATCAGCTGCAGCCTCAACACATGCCTCAAGTTTGCGCTTGGGAGAGCTGTAAGCAAGAAGATTCACTGGAACTCGGGTTGTTCCCTTTCCTTCCAGCCCCATTGATTCCGGCCCTTGCTTCTCAAGTCTGTCGAAACATTTCTCTCAGGCGAGTGAGAGAAGCAACCTCGCTGGCTCTCGCGGAATGAGGGTATCACCCTTGTGAATCATCCCAGAAACGCCTAATGGGGGACTTCTGCCATCCACGTTTAGCTGTATCGCCACCTGGCTCCAAGATCAAGTTCGCACAAAGGCGTGCCTGCTCGACCACCTTCTGGATGGCTTTGCCAACCAGGCCCGTGCCGCCTGGGCTGGACAAAGGCAACCAATGCTGCACCCCTGGCAGGGTACTTCTGCCCATGGGAGTCCTCGAGCCATGCCACATAGGTTCACAACTCTTCGGTTCCGCTCACCTGGCCACGGCTCTTTGCGCAACCGCCCTTGTCATCCGCAAGGCGTACTAACGGGCCGAGGGGAAAACATATTAAGACCCAGTTCGCCTTTTTTCTTGAAAGTACTGCGAATCGAAGGCTTCTTCCAATAAATCGTGAGCCTTATCGCGAGAAAGCTACATGAGAGGACATGCAGAGCAAAAGGCACGGGCACTTTCACACGAGCAAGCACTTGCGCGAGCAAACTCGCACGAGCAAACTCACACAAGCAATCTCACACGAGCACTTGCACGAGCAAACTCGCACACGAGCGCTCGCACGAGAAAGCTCGTGCACGAGCAAACTCGCACGACAACACACTTGCACGAGAAACTTGCACGAGAAATGTCAAAGCATTATTTTCAGGCGACACGGTGACACCAAACCCATTGGCGTGGTCGATGCGCAAAAAAGATGGCGACATTCTCTAGTATTTGATCTGCGTGCACGCGACCCTCACCGGGGATTGGCGTAGTGGGTGTGCAAAAACTGATCGAGACTTGTTTCCAGGTTTTATCTGCGCGTGCAACCCTCTGAAGGGATCGGCGTGGTCGCCGTGCAAAAACTAGTGTTATTTGCAGCTCTTGGAGGTACTTGCGTGGAGAACGACCCTTTGCATCGAGAGCGGCGCACGCTAAGAGTTTACACAAAGCAACTTGCAGAGACATAGTTGCGAAGAGAGCTTGTGCAGAGAAACTTGCACAACAGCACTTGCACAGAGAAACATGCACGAAGAGCTCGCCCAAAACTTGCACCGGCAACTTACTTGCACAGAGAACTTGCGTCGAGAACTTGGATACACAAACTTGAGCAGAACAAATTTGAGCCGAGAACTTGCGCAAAGAGACTTGCACAGAGCGCTTGGAGAGAAATTTGAGCCCCGAACTTGGGCAGAGAAGTTTGCACAGAGAAATTGCGCAGAGAAACTTGCAGTGAACTTGGGCAGAGACCGCTTAGCGCAGAGACCATGTTTCGATCACTATGCTATGCTTTCGGGCCGCTAGATGGTCGCGGTCGCGCTAGTCGCCTGGTGGCTTCTGAGCGGCAAGGAGCGAAATCGTTGCTTTGTTTTGCTGATCTTGCTCGAGGCATGCTATGCACCAAGGCGCAAAGCTACTTGGCTTGGTCAATTCCGCAACAACGACTTTGGCAATGCTCCGACAAAAGCGTTGGGTGAATCAGCTAAACCTTTCAACCACACGTTGTGGTAACTTCTTTGCTTCAAATGCACTTTCACATCCCAAGTGTTGTGGCACAGACACTCAGCACAGCATGAAACAAAAAGGCGCTCCAGGACTACTATAAACCGTCAGCTGAGTTCCACGAGCATTTGACAGCTTTACAGAAGTTGGCCGCAGCTGCTACACAAGAATCTGATGTTTGGGCCTTCCCTGTTTACAGGGCCTAGAAAAGCGGTGTGTGAATCCAAAAACAGTTGGCCGGCCAAACAGGATGCAACAGCGGACCCGAGGCTAGCGAATCGGGTCTGTGGATATGCCAGCGGAGCCAGAGCACGCAGACGGAAGCTATGTCATCATGCCACCCCCGCCCCCGGCCGCATTGTATGCACTACCAGGCGACCAGCGCAACGGTTACCAACTAGATGGCACCATTCCCTTTACATGGGGTTAGGACGTGACCAAACCAAAATGAGGGAATTGTGCAATCTACTTCACCCTGTAAAAGGAACCGCCACCCCGCAGCAGCCCGCAGCACCCCCTCAGCAACCGCTTTTCTCCGTATCCACATTCCCCAGCGCTGTCCACGAAGCAGTCTTGCGGGGGGGGGGTGCTGGCCCATCCCATCCTTGTGGATCCTTTTCGTCCGTCCGAGGCACCGGTGACCATGATCACCGAGCGCTTCTCCGCCATGGCTGCTGGTTCTGAGCCCGTCAAATGGCTTTCCGTGCTCGGCGGGCGCCCAGCTTTTGGCACAAAACACCGGGAACCCCCCAAGAACCCGTGCGTTTGAAAGAAACCTCCTATGTGGGTGCGTCGTGTTTTTGAGGGTCCCCGTTTTGGGCGTGGTGAAAAGGGAAGCCAAAAGAAAAACCACCAAAGGACACACCCATGTCGAAATCGGACCCCCTTTTGGTTCCGTGTTAATCTGAGAAGTAGAAAGGTTCAGGACAGGGTGGGGGGAATGAGGAAAGTCCCAGTTGCGATAGGAGCAACAAGCAATCCCATGTGAAGAAGCCGGCGTCCATGTCAGAGGCGGTTGCAACTCGCGCAGCTCTGCTCCAAGTGAAGCCCTGTCCAAAATCCACAGTCCGCATCGGTCATTTCGCAACAAAGGCGCTGTCTGAACACAAACTATGATTTGCAGATTCAGCTTCATAGTTCGCGTACCCTAAGATATGAGAGAAAAGTTTGGGAGGAGACTCCAGATACCGCTTAATTGCCTTGTATGCTGGCCAGGCTGGTCAGACATCAAAAGAGTCATCGCGCCGAACACGTGGGGCCGTGCTTTTTTGAGGGTGCCCTTGTGCTGGTTGCTTTTGAAGGGAAACCAAAAGCAAACCCGCTGGTTTGGGGGGTCCCCTTTATGCTGACATGTCCACACAAAATACATGGCCCGGACAAAACTCAACTCCGAATTTTGGGCTGCCCTCAGATCCCCCGCTCATTTAACGTTGAGTGGGTTAAATGGAAAAGCTACCAACAACCACTAAAAGGCTAAAGAGCCAAAGAGCCAAAGAGCTAAGGAACCGGATGGCTGGGAGCCCAGCGCAATCCATGTCTTTCCTGTGGATCTTGGGCCATGGCCACCAGCTGCTTCCGCGTGGACGATGGGTCCTGGCAATGAGTCCCGGTTTTCTGTGGGAACCGAAAACAGACCAGGCGCAGCCAGTGGGACTTGCGGGATATGGGTGACGTTGGCCTCTGCTTAGCTGTTATGTTTCACTTGGGTGCAGGGCAAAGAAGCTTCACAAACTAACTGACGCACGTCTTGTATCATGTCTTGCGGCGTTCGTTCCTCTACATCGAAAAGGAAAGAACGACATGAGAACGGCCGGGCCGAAAGCTGGCCCACCGTTCGCCAGAAGAGTTTACCACCTTGTTCGATACAAGTCCTCGAGGGTACGGTCGTTGGGCCCACCCGAAGCTTTCAAACTAGGAATGTCACAACGAGTGCTCTAAACCGGTGCCTGCAATGCGGGAGCGGAGGGTCCCCACCCTTTGCTGCGCCTCAAACATGCCAATTTTGCACCTGTGGACCGGGACCTCCTACGTTATCACCCGCGTTTCTAGATCCCACTAAAAAAGGGCACCGTCCACCCCACCCCCCTCCGGGTACAAACCTCAAGCCAAACCCCGCGAGGCCAGCTTTCGGTAGAACTGAACAAATCCCTCAACTCATTTTGAGGAAGCCGAACAGCGGGTGGTCTATGTGTTTTGCGCACTTCCCATAGCTGAGCTTGGTCTGGGCTGAAAACCGTTTCGACCTCAAGAACTTCGGCACTGGGGCGCCGTGCATCCGCGCCCAGCGTGGTGAGGTTGCCCACTTCGAAGCGATTGAAGGGATGCTGATCCGCAGAGGTCGCCTTGGGATGGCCCTGGGAAGGCCCTCCAAAGGCCCCCTGGTTCTGTCCAAAAGGCGGCAGTTGGGACCGGGACCTAAAGGGTACCAGCAAAAGGGTAGTTTAGCTTTTTGCGCCCAGAGTAAGACATCCTCAAAACGGCCCAAATTGCTTGAAGGGCACCACCCTTTAACCAAAAAAGCATGAGAAGCCTCAAACTGCAACTATAAGTTGTCTACAGAAAGTGAACCTGCCCGGTATGTGAATCTCAACTCCAAGTGCCACCTAGGGCCAAATGTTGGCAAAGCCCGTCACCCACTCGAAAGGCAGAAGATCAATATGCAGGATTGCTCGCCATTGCGTTCTCTTGAAACCCAGCCAGACAAGTACACTCCGAAGCGGCAGGCCAACTTGCTTGAAGAGCTTGAAAAAAACACTCCTCACTGACCGATTGAACACTTCTTCGACTTCTTGGAAGACTGAGGTCATGGGAAAGGGCGGAACAAGTAATGTGTTTACCATTGATGTTGCTGCCCCCAAGTATGAACCAACTCGTTTGGAGTCTAGATGGTGATTTGCCCCCGCTTCTCTCTGCCTGACGAGTTGTTGCCCCTAAAATCACTAAACGACACCTCACTCCTAATTTGGTGGTTTGGTTTGGTGGCCCACCCCACCCCCCACCCCACCCCCCACCCCACCCCCCACCCCACCCCCGCCCACACACCACCCCGCCCACACACCACCCCGCCCACACACCACCCCGCCCACACACCACCCCGCCCACACACCACCCCGCCCACACACCACCCCGCCCCGCCCACACCCCACCCCGCCCACACCCCACCCCGCCCACACCCCACCCCGCCCACACCCCACCCCGCCCACACCCCACCCCGCCCACACCCCGCCCCGCCCACACCCCGCCCACACCCACACCCCGCCCACACCCACACCCCACCCCACACCCACACCCCACCCCACACCCACACCCCACCCCACACCCACACCCCACCCCACACCCACACCCCACCCCACACCCACACCCCACCCCACACCCACACACCCACACCCACCCCACCCCACACCCACACCCCACCCCACACCCCACCCACACCCCACCCCACCCCACCCCACCCCACACCCCACCCCACCACCCCACCCACCCCCACCCCCCCCCACCCCACCCCCCCCACCCCACCCCACCCCACCCCACCCCGCCTCGACCCCACCCCCCGCCCCCGCCCCGCCCCGCCCCATACTAGACGTTAGGGGGTGCCTTCCCCATTTAAAAAACCACTAAAGGGTGCTGGCACATCGGCCTTCCCAAGGCTTCGCCCAAGACAGCGCCAGGTAAACCTCCCTGCCACCAAAGCAAAAAAGTGAGAAAACCACATGAAACTGTCCCCCCCCCCACCCCACCCCCCCAACCCCCCCCACCCAAAAAATGAAGTACACTTAAACTCCATGTTCTTGTTTTTTCAACAAACAAATGAAACTTCCGCCCCTTCACGAACCAAACTCCGCACCCGGAGAGAAAGCGGGCGCCTTCAGCACCTGCAGCAGGCGCCAGCCATCCTCCGTGGAGTAGTTGGTGCTCTCCGAGTCCACCGCCTCCCGACCCCCCGCAGGATGCCAGCTGGAGGAACCAAACCACACAGGTGGATTCAGATGCCGAAAAACCAGCTGATCGAGAGACGGCCCAAATCCTGACTTGAAAGCAAACAGGCAGTTTTGGGGTCCAACCTGTTTTTTGCGTGCTCGAGCAGCTGGTTTTGGGAAGCATCCTAAGAACCATGGGCCATAAGCCAGGCTGTTTGACAACCGTTACTTTGGCAAGAACAGATCGCTTTTCAAGAAGCGATGGGGCTGACAGACGTGGCCCTTTGGCTCCATCACGAACCGAATCATGGCTCAGCCCCCCCACCCATGACACACGCCTTCATCTCCCGTTCGATCCCCGACGGATCAAACGTCGGGCTGATGAAGAACCTCGGCTGGGCCCCCTTGTGGGCTTGCGGCCCTTTGCCACTCGCCTTCAGAGACACTTCCTTGGCCCCGGCATGGCCAGCCTGTCACGACCCTCTGCTTTGGGCGATAAATTAGGGGGCCAAGCCTCTTTCACATTGCAGTTCAAAGAGGAAATGAATAACACGTGGGCCACTTGTGAGAACAAACGGCCGGTTCCCAGTCAGAACCCGCAAAATGAGTTAATCAGCTCCCCCCTAATTGGTGGGTTGGATTGGCGCTTTGGAGGTTAGCAGTGGCTTGCCCTGCAACAAGTACAAGCAAGAACCACAAACTCCCAAACCACCAATCCAAGCCACCAAGTAAGGGCTACTTCTGACTTAAAGAAACGAGAAGAAAAAAACAGGAAGACCACCCTCGATTCTTGCCGCGCCGCTCTGCGAACCGTTCCAAAGCTCCACCCAAGTGGGGAGAAGACACCTGGCACCAGAAGGCATCGCTGTCGGCTTGCCCCAAAGGCCACAGGTAGAAGGAGTTGTCGAAATAGGGGACCCCCAAAAAGATGTGGTTGGGCACCCTGAAAAAGCATCCCAGAAAAGCGCAGCTGGTGCTCAATGAAGGGCCACCGCGGTGCCCCCCCCCCACCCGGCAGCTGAGGCCTTGAAGTAGTAAGTCGTGAACTCCGCCATGGTGAACCTGGGTGGATGTCGAAATGGGGTGGATGTCCCCACCCACTCACATAGTGTTGGTCTTCTGGCTTCAAGGGGAAGCCTTAAAAAGAAAACTACTCGCAAGCTTTAAAAGGGCCGCCTCAACCAAAGACACCCATTTGCTGAATCGAATCGCTCAACGTTCGCACAAAACATGGTGAGCTCCAGTCCTTTGCTTTGCAAACGGTTGAAGAGCCACCATGAATCCTGCAGCCGATCACCCTTCTACCAGGCCCATCAAAGCCGTGTTGCCGTGATTCTCAAAATGTCATCACTTGGGTGCTTCCGGCAATAGGCGACACTAAATTCCAGATGTCATGTTGTCTTTTTAATACCGCAAAGGGCATCCCCACTGAAATCGCCTTTGGTTCCTTATATGTCCCCTTTGAACATCACCCTTTCAAAAAGAAAACTCACCCAACGGGCAGGGTAACGTAGTAACCCCCAAAAAAGGCCATGATAATAAAACTAAACATAATAATGTAATACCACTGTTCAACTGTAACCATAATGACAATATGAAAAAGAATAAACACATATATATATATATATATATTTATTTATTTGTAGGATAAGGACCCCTGATCTTTTTGAGCATGGCATCCCATGGGCCGATGCCCGACGTGCGGTGTCGTCCGAGGGCTGCGCGCGTTGCTGTCGCCCCCGTTCTCGCTGAGGTATTTACCTCACAGGCCGGCTGCCAGGCGTCTTTCGGCTTTCCCAGTTGGCCCAAAACTCGATTTTCATGCGGACAAAAAAGGGAACCAGGACCTTGCGCTCCATTTGTGCCTGAAGTGCCCTTGTATGTGCTGTTTTGATTGCCAATTGACGGCCCTTGTGCTTGACTTTGAAGGAAAACCCTTCCCAAGAAAGGAATACGGGTGCCACTGGGCAAGTGGGAAAATCTTCGCCCAGGACCATTGGAGCACCGCCTGAGTTTGACCGGAGCCTGTCCCATTTTAGACGAGATCCGGATCACTTTTGTGTAAAACACCCGGGCGTCCAATAACGCCCTGCACAAACCATTCACATGATGCAAAAACAAAAGCCACAAAACAATCCCCCGGCGTTGTCCGGCGCCGTGCTTGCCTTCCCAGAGATTCCCTCGAGCTAAGATATTTTTGTGGGTGTGTGTCTGTAGGGATTGGACCCTCAAAAGCCCGGGGGTTCCGGGTCCGGCCCAATGCCGAGGCCCCAGCTGTACTCGTCTTCCTTGGGGAACTTCTCGGTACCTGAGACCAAATGCCATCGGCCGAAGCCTTTTGAGAGGCCTGCACACTTTGGCTGGTGTCCGAACCCATTGCCCCTGAAGGCAAAAAAGAAATGGATCGGCTTTGGTCAAAGGTGCTTGTTTAAGGCCCACTTCCCCAAAGTGGCTCCGTCCTTGGGGCATAGGGGGCTCTGCTTTAAAAAAAAGTCGAGCTGAATGATCCAGCCGCAAACCGCCACAGGTTGACACCAAAGTAAACACAAAGTGCCACGCATAGACCTTACACCTGTGCCAAGCTCATCTTGTCGAAAAGTGTCATAAACTAACTCCTTCTCTCTAACGGTTGCTGGGCGCTCAAATTGTTGACGCCACACAAATTCCGAGGCTCGGCGGCACAAAAAGCCGACGAAAAGATACCGCCGAACCCCGCCAGAACGCCGTTAGGCCACCAATGTTTTATGCCCACGCGGTTTTGGAAGGCTGTTCCACCCTAACTGCACGTCAGTACCCGAAAAGCCAAGAGACTCTGGATTCCAGCACCATCTGCAAATGATTGCCATCATGCAAGGAATCCAAGGAAGCTGTCATGAACTCATTTTAACAAAAAGTCACTAAATGGGCCAAGCCGTTGGATTCCAGGTCGCTTCTCAAAAAAGAATTTCTCGTCCCCGGCTGCGACACCAAAAGGAGCAGTCAAGATTTGGGCGGCGATCATCTCTAAAAGGCGGCTTCGCCGGCACCGAAGCAGGTCCAAAAAGGAGCTGGCCATCCCACAGACAACCCTCGAACGAGGAAGAAAAAAAACACACAAAAAAGCGAACCTCTACCAGAACCACGGCTTCAAATCCCACCAATTCAAACCACCAATCATCGCCCGTTGAAAAACCACCTGAGTGGACCTCCTGTCAAACAGGATCAAACCACGGAAAAGGCAGGCAAAGTCCCCAACCCCAACAGCCACCGCCGACCGAAACGTCGCACCCAGGAAGAGCATGTGCTCGTGGAAGTGCGCCAGGCCCAAGGTATCCTTCGGGTCCTTGCGAGCGATGAGCCAGGAGCTCGCGGAATGGGAAAAAGAATGTGACCTGGTTTCTCCTCGAGTGGGGCGGGGGGGGGGGGGGGGGGGGGGGGGGTGGCTCAGTAAATAAAAGGCAAGCATGGTGCCATTGAACAACTGGGCTGAGAATGCGTGGGGCAAGCTCAAAGTGTTCCCAAAGCGCCACCTTCAAACTCCTTGGAATCTGTCGGCAGTCGGAAGAAGCTGTTTTGGCTCCAATCTCGATCCCCTCTTAGATTGGACAACCCCCTTTCAAAATCAACCAATTGTTTTTGAAACCTGAGTTCCCACTCGTCAGAAGTGGGCTCCCGCCCCCTTTTGGTTTCAAAAGCACGGCAAGCTGGCAGCGCAAACAGTTGGAGCACGTCCCCAGGCTTGATTTTCCAGTGCGATCCCCATCCCCCGAAAGCATCACTCTTTAGGGATTCCTATGGCATGACTGGAAAGAGCCCCCTTCAAGTCCCATTTTCCACAACCACGCAACTGGCCCATGGGCGGCTCAACATACCCACAACGCTCAAAAGAATCTGGCTCCTGGAACGTTCCGCACCGCACCTGGGAGTGAGTCCGACAGGTGTGGCCTTCTTGGCTTCAACCAAATCGTGCAGCTAACAGCTACCACGCGCCCCCCCCTGCCCCCCCGCCACCAAAAAAGAAAAAACAGCACTTTCACACCTCTGCCAAACCAAAACACTGCGGCCTGTAAAAACATATATCTATATATGCATATATACAGCTACAAAAACAGGGCCCATACTGGCAGAACAAGTCTCGAGACTCCACAGTTCAAACCGCAGGCGCCGGTTTTGCTGGGGCTCCCTTGCAGTCAATGCCGCTGCAGAGGTGCTGGCCGTGGGGTCTGAAGCCAAAAGCACCTGGCCAAAAGGCCCGACAAACGCCTGCCAGCCACAAACAAGTGGGCCTCCGTTTGTAGCGGGTCCCCCCAGGAAAACAAACAAAGAACCTGCACAGGGGTGCCTTTACAAGGAAATGATCTTCCAGCAGCCCCTGCGCAGGTTCTTTTTGCTTGTTTGGTGGGTACTCTTTTGGGGTTGCTTCGGGAAATCACGGGGAAAACCACTGGGTCCCCTATTCCAACCAAATACCCCACGCACATCTCTACAATTGATGTCCATTTTAGGGTTTCCCGTTTGAATCTGGGGAGTAGGGTGAAAGTAGATGGCACAAACTCGCAACTTGCTATGCACAACTTGGAATACTCGAAAACCAAGGATAGCACTCAGCCCAAGCGAAGGTACGTTCAACATACAGGAAGACCCTGATAACCCTAAACCCTAAACCCTTACTATGACTTGGAACCAATCACAACAACATCTGTGTTTTTTCAAAGGTACCAGTTTCACCTTGGTTTAGAAATAACAACAAGCATAATAACCCAAGAAATCATACTTGAAACAAAGCCCACAGGTCGCCACACCCCCCCCCTCCCCCTCAACCCCCCCCCCTCCCGCGCCCGCGCAAGCTGCGCAGCAGCCGCCCGCCTGAAGGCCGTTCTCGAGCTGCAGCACCTTGTAGCTCCGGGGGTCGCTGGGCGGCGCCCGGACCTCTCGAAGGCCACTTGGGCTTTTTGGAGGTCTATCGATCAGCTGGCGAGCTCCTGTTGGGGGTCATCCCTGAGGGAGAAAAGAATGACTTCCTAAACTCGCCACCGTAAAGCTCCCCTGGCATCACTCCTGTTGCACAACCTGCCCCAACCTGCATCTCCGAACTCCAGCACACTCCCTGCTGTTTTCAAGGCCTTGCGTCTTGCTGGCTAGGGGCGCTCAGGGAAGCCCGGGTGTGTTGACGGCATCCACGCTACCCGTTCTCAGTATCCCACGCCAATGCTCTGCCTCTACCCGGCAAACCTCGACGCCTGGGATACGCCTTCCCCAAGGCTGCCTTAGCATCCCATGCTACAAAGTCCCAAGTTCCTATGGCCTCAGCATCCCACGTTGCCATTCGTGTGGCCCTTTCCTGCAACATTGCGCAAAACCTGGCCCTGAAATTCTGCCAGCAACATTCCAAGGCCAGCTTGGGCCATCCTCATCAACGCCAGATGAGAAGATCAAGATTCCTGCTGCCCATTCAGTTTCCTCGTTTGTCCATCTCCCACTGCTATGGGGTCTTGGTCATTCCTGGTTTCGGGTAGCCTGGACAGGTTCCTGGAGGCATTCCTTTGGTTTATTTCTGGGGGAACCCTGCGTGATGGCCACCCTTTGTGTAGCGTAGGGGACCTTCGCAGGGCCATTGCTCCACCTTGGCTCTTGGTGCACTTGCTTTTGCCATGGCTGTGCCAGGCCCAACGTTTCGGAGGCTGCTATAGTCTAGCTTCAGATTGCCCCAACCGCGCAGGAGACCCCGCAGATTCTCTGAGCATCCCATGCCAGCAAGAAGTGTCCCACTCCAAAAGCCCCATCCAGAGCATCGCATGCCACAGCAAAACGCGCCGCGGGGCCACGGTTGCCAGCAATACCCTGAAAATACCTGTGCAACATCAGGCATCCCTCTGCTTCCCCACCAACTCCTGCCTCAACTCCATCGGCAACTACCGCAGCAGTTTTAGTAGCCTCGCCGCCAAGCAGCCCATGCATCGCAACACAAGTTGCCACGTTGACTTGGCTGTGCTTTTTCGTTTAGTGGGGAGCCCACCAAACAAAACGGGATGTAGAGGGTGGCATTGAACGCCTGGTTGCAGACGGGCCAAAGGATGTCAACTGGTTGACTAAGGCACCGCACGTAGCACCTGATGCCAAAGCCTGGCGTCGCTGCCGAGCGGTTTGCAGTGCGGCTATGGTGCGCCCGTAAGTGTCACCCCAGCCCCGTGGCCAAGAATCCGAGGGAAAACCTCACCCCCCCCCCCCCCACCCCTTTGTCGGGTGATTGCTGCAACCCAAAGTGGGCGGCCTCAAGTGGGCCTTTGCCTTCTGGCCTTTTCCCGGCTCCTTTTCTCCCTGGCCTCTGGAGACCCTGGCGCTCAGCCGGCCACGGGAGAGGCGCTCGCGCACCTGCGATCTGCAGGGCCCACTGGGCAGGGGAGGGGAGTAGAGGCAGCCACGAAAGGCGGCAGATTGCGAAACCCGACAAAAAAAGCCAAAAAACACAATGTGGCCTGTGTCGCCAATATTCGCCAATTGCCCCAAAACATGTCACGTCCATGTTTCTCCGAATTCGCGCTGGGTTCTTGTCGGCGCCCTGCCCGCAACAACGCTGTTGTTATCATCGTGGTGATGATGGCAGCGGGCATCAGATGCCGCTGAGGTTCCCGTGCACGGCGCATACCACAGTCGCCGCCGTTTGTCAACACGCCTTCAGTTGTTTCCAAGCTGGTGTGCATATTCAAGTGACATCTCCCAAAATCATTGGCAGTCGCAAGTCCTTTCTAAAATCATTGGCACATAATGAGTTTTGACTATGGCTGGCGCAATGGCTGGGAGTTTCACTTGTTGGATCACCTTCGCAAATGGGTGGCCGCGTAAATCTCCATGTCCACCAAGGCCACAACAGGGAAGACCGTGCCCACGTGCAACAACAAATGGCGCCACCCGTCCAAGAGCTGCCAATTCTGCCAGCCAAAGGCCGGTGTGACAGTCGACGCCAAACCCAAACGCTCTACCTCAAAACAGACAGCCAGCACCACCAACATCACCAGCAGTTCCAGTATCATCTCCGTGTGCAGCTGCGGCCGCTCACGGCTAGGAACCCGCTAGAACCAGAACCCCTAGCCTAATGCACGAAATTGGGTGCAGTCTCGTGCGATGTCCGTGCGAATGAAACACTCCGCAAAATTCCGGAGGGACCACCATCAAAGGGCTATCGACCTCAGTCCTTTGTCAACAGATGATTGGTTTGGCTCCGCTTCTGCCATCGATCGGTGGAATCGCTGTCTGCTTCGCCTGCCTTCGCCGCCAGGGAGCACGGAGACTTCAGCAGCAAGCCCATGCCTACGCCCGCCATGATGGCCTCGGCCGACTCAAAAGCCCCAAGCACAACGGTCAAAAATAGATGGCGCCATATGATACCATTCCCGCAAGTGAAGGGGATGACGAAACAGGGCTTAGCCTTTTTCGAAATGGCGAACCACTCAAAAGGCCTTGATGATGCACTTGCAGGTTCACATGGAGGAGGTGTCGAAATGATGGCCCCTTTTGGGACCCCGCTGCCGCCGAAGAAGCCGCCTTGTAAAGGGGACACCAAAAACCCCCCCGAAGTTTGACAAGAAACGCTGAAGGGCCCAGAGACAACACTGTCTTCGCTGCCCAAAGGGCAATCCCAAACTTGCTGATTCGTGTTGGGAAGCCACAGGGGTCGTTCCCTTGCTCCCTGAGAGCCAGCGAGGAAATTGAAAGTGCTGGATAAGGTCAAGTTGATACAAAGCCCAGACCGGGAAGCCCGGGCCCGGCCATGGCCACGTTGCTCCGCCCAGAGCCGGGCCCAGATCCGTGGGCGCTTCGCCGTGCTAAGCCCGGCACTGCCTGGGGCGCGGCCTCGACCAGCGATAGAGAGCCCCCCGGAAGTATGGCGGGCCGGTCCCATTGGCGCAAGAGGTTTGGGCTAGTACCACCCCAGAAGCATCCACCTTTCGTTCCGTTTTTTCTTCTAGACCTGTAAAAAAAACAGGCGGACGGACCAAAACACCCTGAATACCTGCAACACTGCAACAGGGACCTCATAGTGTCAAACTCCCTGGTGACAACTGTCCATAGCTGGGAGGCCTGCGCAACCGGCAGTCCAAAAAAAGGAACCCACGCACACGCGACACAACACAAACAAAAAGCGTACACGGACCAGGGGGGTGATCTTCTGTGCTTGGGGGATCTTGCAGACCTTACGTGGGTCCGGTGGCCTACCTGCATCAAACCCACCTCCTTTTCACGCTTGGGCAAAAGCGGCACAACCTCCCGTTTCGGCTGTCATCGGGCCTTCCTGAAAGACACAGAAAGGGGATAGAGGTCCCGGCACCAAACTTCCAAACAGGGGCAAACAAGCCCAGCCAACAAGCCCCGAACCTGCTGCTCCTTATTTCGCTGTCGGTCAAACAAATGGCACCTTGGCAAATGGAGCCAAAGGCTAAATCCTGCGTAACCCCAGTTTAATTTTGAGCCACACCCATTTGGGCTGAGGCTCCAGATGTTTTTCCCGGCTGTGCCTGCGGTCGCCGCTGCCCCCTTGGAGCTGCTCGAGGGGCTAGTGAAGCGAGTCGAGATGCACCTCACATCCCGAGAAAAGGGGCGCCTGGTTCATACCCTCCACGCGTTCTGCAGTGATCTTCCGATGTTCATCCCTTGATCATCCCTTTTTATCATCATTATCATCCCCTACTATCCCTGATCATGCCTTTGCTATCCCTGTATCATCCCTGCATCATCCCCTTCCCATCGCTCTACACATCCCTCTGTCGTCCCTTTATCACCAGTGTATCATCCCTGTATCATCCCTTTTCATCCCTGTTCATCCCTTTATCATCTCTTCCTTGTATCATCCTTTTGCCGTGCCTTTATCACCCCTGTTTCCCTGTTCATCCCATTCTCCGCGATTGTCCCGTGCATCAGTTCGGCTGAGGTGGCTGGCTCGAAGCGACAAGCACCCCCCCCCCCCGCAAAACACTGCTTTGTGGACCTGGCATTTGGGACATGGGACAAAGCAGTTGGGGGTGGCTGGTCCCTATCAAACTCAACACAAATCAATTTGAAAGCAACGTGAAATGTCTGGAAAGGTCGCCTTTCCCTGTTGAAAGCAGCTGCGAGATGCGCAAGAGGTCCGACCTAAGGCACCTGACTCAGGCCGTAAGCCGGCTCGAGGGCGGACATGGCTTGCAGTGGCAAAGCTGTGGAGCCGAACGGGCTGCATGGAAAAACGGAATGCGCTCCAAAGCAGCCAGAGTAGGGTGCGTCTTTTGGAGGGTCCCCTCAAAATCGCTTTGAGGGAGATCTAAAGGAAATCAAACATGTTGGGGTCCCCTCACCTGAGAGAACCCCGATGGGCAGCTCGCTGCAGAGAAACTCTTGAGTGCGTATGTGTGTGTGTGTGTGTGTGCATGAAGTCGACATGAGTTCCAACGCTTCCGTGGGAGCTTCCCAAAATGGGATGCGGCATTCAAAGGAAAACAAGAGGAAACCCAGGAGTTTAGGGAATGCCTTTAGAAACACCCGAGCAATGTCAAGAAGCCAACTCTGCCCACAGAAACTCCGCTGAGCATCGGCACCGCTAGTAGCCTTCACAGATGCGTCCTGGCCGGCTGCCCAACTAAGGAGCTGTGGAAAATGTATACGCCGTGTATGCAGCCATGCAGGCCATCAATACATATGTAAATACATGTGTATGTATATATATAGGTTTATTTATGTGTTTATGTATTTATTTATTTATTTATTTTGTTATTTATTTATTTATGTATATACATATGTGGAAATGTACATACCCTTCCTCATGTTAGCGGTATGAAAGCCTCTCATGTCCGAATTCCCTGCTTGAAAAGACGCCCTCACTCGGTTTGACATATTAGGCCTCCCCCGTCTCCCCACGCAGGCGCCCTGTTTGTTGCCCTGGCCGGCTGCACTCACCTGGGCGAAGGGCAAATAGTTATTTCCTGTATATGCTGCACAGACTCTAGGTTCCGTATACTGTGCATGAGTTCTCATGCACATATAGATATACAACATCAGGCATTTGCAAGTATGCGCACACGTACATCTTGCCAAACTCGCTATACCACCCGCAAGGCGCGGAGAAAGATACATGTCCCGAGTTCCGATCACGGCTTGTTTGATTCTGTCCGTTCGCTTGTTGCAGGGCCGGATCCTGGGCCCCAGGCCTCCACGCACTCAGCGGCCCCTTCTGGCCGCCAAAATGTTCTTGACTTGCTGCTCCTCCAGGCTCATGCAAGCGACACGCTGGGGCAAGCCCAGTTGCCAAAAGGTTCCCCTAATAGTGCGTGGGCGCAAATAAATGTCATGCTCCGACGGCTCCAGCGCCTTTTTTGCCCTGTTTGCCACCAGAGCGGCCGGAGCGGCCCTCTTCCACCGGGAAAAGGCAGCTTCAGCAACGCGACGAGCAGTGGCCGGTCGACTGGTCTACTGGTCTGCTCGTCCGAGCCCAGTCGCGTCAAAGGCTCACTCTCAGCAGCAGGCGCTGTTTTGCTGCCTCACTCCGGAGGAAGTGGCTCCGGAGCCGGGCAGCAAGGAGTCCATGGTCTGCTGCCACGGCCTCTTGTTCTGCACGGGGTCGATGTATTGGATCTCCATGGCCTGTTTGAAGCGGGTGAAGGGAAACCAAGCAGATCCAGCCATTATTTTTGGATGGAACCAACAAAACGCTCATTTGCAGAGGAACCTCCATTCCTGAAGAGAAAAGAGCAGAAAGGATCCCTTCTAAGGTCCCCTGTTGGAAACTCCCGAGGCTAACGAAATATACAAGAGACGAGCGCTCTGAACACCCGGCGATGGCTTGAAGGCACTGTTGGGGGCCCAACAACTCATGCCATTGGCGAACACGGGCCTGTGACCCCGGCAGACCGCCAGAATCAGAAGGTCAAGTCTTGGGGAAAACTCTCCCGAGTGGCGCCTGTTCTTTCCAGTCACACCGTTGAGCCCACTATGTGAGCTTTGAGGGCGTCGTTTTTGAGCCTCACAACGCACCTCGGGGAACCCAACCATTTGAGGGAGACAAACCCATATGTCCATGAGGCCGTGCTCCAAGCGCTGCACAGAAAGAAAAGAAGTCGACGTAAGTACCCTCAAAAGCAACCACCATGTAACCTCAGATGATGCCAAAATCGATATCTTTGTCAACCCTTCGCGATCTGGCAAACAACCAGCTTTCAACACTTTGGGCTCACATGCCTCCATTCTCAAAGTTCCAATCAACCGGCTGGGTTTACACTGTTACAGCGTGTGTGCACCGGCTTCAGCTCCCTTGCCCTGTTGCAAGCTCCAAGTCCCTTTGTCTCTTGCGGTAGGCCCAAACCTCCCACACTGGCATGCGTGCTTTTTCTCCGAATCCGAAAGGGAGCTTTCCTCACATTTTCGGGTCAAGCCTGGACCTCCAAACCTGAAACACGTTGGGGCCACACCCGGGACCAAATGGATGTTCGATCTCATTTTCCCGAATCGGTGACCTCAAAACCCGATGGCGAATACACATATGAGTGTTCTTATGTTTGCGGGTACCCTTTTGTTGGTGGTCCTACAGGGGAACCCAAAATAGAAAGCCACCATTTTTGGGGGAGGGGGGCCTAACAAAGACGCAATCATATACAACAAGTCCTCCTAAGGCTGATCCAGAGTATCCAATCAGCACGTGCAGGCCCAAAGCCCTAGGTTGGCCAGGGACAACTCACCCGCAACCATGCCTAAGTTTGACTTTCATTGGTATATTACTCCCTTCTATCGATTTTGCTGGGACCGGATTAAGCCAACTGTTCTTTGAACAAACTCCTTTGGTCCTTTGGGCTTCCCTGTTTTTATTTTTTTTTGGGGGGGGGGGCTGGCATTGTCTGGTTGACACAAGTTGGCAACCAACTCTATTGACCTCTAAGGACTCCAAACCCAAAAACAAACCTCCACGGACTCCATGGCAACAAATTCCGCCTTGCTGCCCACAAAGTCCCAAGGAAGTCAGCAACTGCTGTTGTCATCATTTTGTGTGTGTGTGTGTGTGTCTGTGTTTGGTGTTTTCCCCGGGTGTTTCAATCATAGTTTTCACCCAGAAGGGCCCCTCATGGGGGGTGTTTTCACCACTGGTGCGGGGGGGAAACCAAAAAAAAACACGTTTTTGGGCTTCCCTTGCATACCGAATCGGTGAAAAACCTGAGTTAAAACGCCGCCTCCTGCATGGTGGCGCAGCAGGAGCACCAGGTCCAGGTGCAGAAATCCTCCGTGCAGGTGCTGCAGCTGCCGTAGGGCAGGCCGTACGTCCTCGGCGCCACTTCTCCAGAGAAAAATGAGAAACAAGTCTCAGCATGCCCAAAAGGTACAGCTCACGATCGAAGCTTTTTTGCTGGGGCTCCATCTGCTAACTGGTTGCTACCCACCACAATATAGAACCCCCAAAACATAAACTCAGCCAGCGAGCCATGGTTGTGGGAGAGATGCTGACATTGCGGGCAGCTGGACTTGCAACCAAGCTCCCGAATTCGACGGTTTTCCGGTGGAGGTGCAGTGCCCGGTGCTTCCCCCTCTGGGAACCGACCATCACCTTGCCAGGGCTCTTTCGGATCTTCTGACGGTGTAAGGTGGCGAGGATGGTGAAGAGCAGGCTAGTCACGTAGAAGGACATCCCGGTGAAGGCGTTCAAGAGCGCGATCAAAATGACGCCCGGCCAAAAGGGCAGGAACCCGGTCTTGCCTCGCAGATCGGCTTAGATGAACCATGCCCACAGTTCGGAAATGCCAGTTACTCGTTTCATTGGAAATCTGGGTAACCCGGTGCCATGTCAGTACGCGATGCGCATCTTCCCTGACTCCTGATTTGGTGAGCTTCAGGCTGCGGTGAAGCTATCACCCGATTTCACCACATTTTTCGGCACCATTCTTTGGCAGCGCCACTACGTGCGTGTAATCACGATGCTGGCTGCCAACATCCCGCACTACCACTCCACCAAGCTAGCTTGCCGCGCACGGGTGCCGCGTGGAACTGTTGCAGTCCCTTTATTTCAGCGGTTTCTTCTACAGGTTCCTTTTGGTGCTGAGCATCGAATGCAATCCGAGTCAAAGTCACACCCGGTATTAAAGGAGTCTGTTCAAAGCCAAACAAGGAAGCAAACAGGCACCACACCTGCTTCTGGCTGGGATAGTCCCCCAACCGTAACCTTTATCCACCCGGGTTTGATTGCGGCTCACATCCCCGGCAAGGTGTTCACAATCGCGTGTCTATTGTGGGCAAAACGTTTACCTCTTACTGGTGGGAAGACACACACCTTCCCGAGAAGCAAAAGAGACAGTGACAGATGCAACCAAATTTCAAAAAGCGGCCAAGAGGAAAAGCCATGCCCTTGGCTTCCCCTTGCTTTGTGTTGCCAAAGACGCGCCCCTGCTGCTCTCTTCAAAACTTGGGTGCTGTAGATCCCCCAGCAAAAAGTTTGACTTTTGGCTGGTTAAAAGGAAACATGAGGGGAATCCAAAAAGTTAAAGTCTAAAGATCCAACCCAATAGCACTGGAGAAAAGAAACCGAGCCGCTGCTGCTGGCGGTGTCGGCCCAGCGCACCGGCAGGCAGCAGCAGGAGCAGCAGGGGATCCGGCGATCTCCTCGCCGGATCCGCGGGCGCGCCGAATTGGGGCTGCAGGTCATTCGTATGTTGGCTGCGGTTGCTGCAAGAAGCTGAACCGTTTGCGGCTTCAATGGAAAACCCTTGGTTTCCCAAAAAGTTCAGGTCTAAAGATCCAGGTGCAATCAAGATGAACCCCTGGTTTTGTACATGTTTGACCCTTGCGGCCTTGCGGCTTTAGAACTGGGTGGATGTTGCACCGTTTTTTGGGGGAAGCTGGTTTTGGGTCAAGAGAACACCTTGCATTTCGAGGGCTATTTGGAGACCAACCCCGATTTGCGCGAAAGGTGCAAAAGCCCAGCAGTCCTTTGATTGTTTTCGGTGGCTCAAACATGAATGACCTGCCTTGTGAGGGTGGGTTAAGCATGACCTCTGGACGAAAAAATGTGAGATTCCGTTTGGTGTGTTGAAAAGGATGAATATGGGAACCCCTGGCCCTCTGTCAGCATGGCGAAAAGGACAGCTTGAAGAATGTGCCGGGCACCCATGCGAGAAACAAGCTCGAACAGTGCGGACAAAGAGTGACAACCCCTCCCTGCGCCCGAAGCATCGCACAAGCGGATCTTGATTGCCTAATTCTTGCAAGTGGATCTTGATTCCTCGAATTCAGCGCGGCATGTGGCTGGTTGACCTGCTTCCGGGCAGGGCAGCCTAAACAGGTCCAAATTTGCATGGGTTCCAGCTTGAAATGGAGAACCATGCGCTTAGCAGCCCATTTGTTAGAACCCATTGACCGGCTCAACCAATGAAAGCACCTAGCGACTCAAGGACCTAGCGACTCTACTGAGTTGGCTGCCAAGGCTCTCATGATTTCCGCCGAAGGCGCGTCCCGGTCCCAGTTGCAGCACTCGAAGAGGCTGAAGGTGAAGTGATCCCCGTAGACCACTGGCTGGTTTTTGAGCATGGGGTACTGGTACCTCAACGACTGCTTCGTTGATCTCTTTAAAGTTGTTCTTTTTCCATGGGAGATGTCACAATCCCTCTAACTCTAAAAGTCGCAAAAAGAACCTCTAAGCTCTAAGAACTCTGAAAGTCTAACGAACCATATGGCTGGTAAGCTACGTGAAGAAGGTCACGTAAATGAAGGCCGCGATCATGATCAGCGAGAAGTAGACCGCCGCGCCGATGAGTTGATCCCGCAAGATCTCTTTGCCTGGATCTATGAGGGTTCGCACTTAGATCCTTATAAGGGGTTCTGATCGAAGGGTTCATTTCTGGTAGTGGGGCCCTACTGATTTGGTTTAGAGGCCTATCCTCAATGGCATGGCACCCACAAACGCCACCCTTTTGGGTGACCAAACAGGGATCCTTCTTACAAAAAACACCTGAGCATTGCCTTGTAAATGGTGGTGTCCCTTTATTTTGCTGGAAAAAGCCATGTTTCAAATGGGCGCCATGGATAAATTTCCAGCTTTGATTCTTGGCCACGCGTCACAGCCGGGGCCCTGGGGCTCTGGGATCGGGTCAAGGCAAGAAACCTTTTCTTTGCACAGGAATTTGAATTCCAACTGGTCATTGGCCTAGCCCAACAAAAACCGCAATGAGGGCAAGGCAAGGCCAACAGCTCGGTCTTGTCCGCACCAAACTGGCTCGGTCAACCTGCACACCAGGATTGATACGTTTCGAGCGGGCAAAGACTCCAAGAACGTGACCTGAAAGAGGGGGTCTTTTCTGGATAATGGTAGTCTTTCCAAACCCGGCTATGCATCTCCGCGCTTGGATCTTTGAACCATTCCAGCAGATATGGGGGTCGTGATAGTTCGCCCCAGGACGTCGGTAACCAGTTTGGCCGCCAGAAATCGCCGATCCCCCCCTTTTTGGGGCTTCATGTCTTATTTTGCGGGGGCCCTTTACAGACATATAGCCCATGTTACCCAAAAAGTTGAAAAGTTGTGTTTTTAAGAGGTAAGATCAAACATCGGCCGCCAAAGCTTGGCCAACCGAAATCGCCAGGCCGCTGAGGTCGGCAGCGGAGGCCGCTGCCAGCTGCAGCAGCTGCGTCCCCGTCTTGGCCAAACCGCTCAGCGCCAGGCGCGTGCGCGCACTCTGCACTCCAGTCGCTTGCTCCTCGAGCCCCACAAAAAACAAAAAAAACTCGGTTGGTAAATTGAGGGTCTGAACCAAAAGTAGAATGGAATGCGGACAACATAACCAAATTACGTCTTGGGACAAGCCTGTGTGTCATTATTCAGCCCTTGAAGTTGACCGAAATAGATGGTAAAGACTCAACCCGGGTTCGGACAAACAAACGAGGCTCTTCAAACATGGTTCAGCCAGGGTTCCCCCCCCTTGTGGACGTTTTGGGCGCTGCTCCAATGTGTTCGGTAGGCCAACGTCCGATTCGGAAACTAAAATGAATTCGGCAACTACTCTGGCAAACTATTCAAAAAAACAACTATGATCCGGATGCTAAATGACAGATTCGGAAACTAGAAAGTCGGATTCGAAAACTAGGATTCGGACACTTCTGATTCGGAGCTGGGACGTCGGATTCAGAAACTGGAGCTTTGTCGGGCTCGGAAACTGGAACGTCGAATTTGGAAACTCTCAAGACGGATTGGGACAATAGGATTCAAAACCGGAATGCCGGATTCGGAAACTAGCATTCGGAAACTAGAAAGACAGGTTTGACATCTGCAACCTTGGTCGGGCTTTGAAACTAGGACTCGGGAACCGATAGTGGGGAATCTCTGAGTTGCAGGTGGCTTCTGCACACTCTCGATCTTCTGAAGGTGTGTGCGCAGTGCTAAGCGCGTGTGCTTGAGCGCATTTGACATTTGGCAGGCGAGTTTGCAGTGCTAAGCCGGTGCGCTTGAGCGGGTCTGACAGGAGCGCTGACTCCTTGGCAGGCGTGAGCGAAGGCTGAGCCGGTGCACTTTAGCGGGTGCGCGTACCACTTGGCAGGCGTGCGCGCTGTGCTGAGCGGCGCACCTGAGCGGGTTGTGTGTGTGTGTGTGTCTTGTGCTGGATGGGTGCACTTGGGCGGGCGCGCAATTCATTTGGCAGCGCGTGTTACAGGTGCTGGTCGGCCACTTCAGCGGGCGTCTTTCCCATTTGGCAGCCGTGGTGCAATGCCGAGCGTATGCTCTGGAGCAGGTGCGCTTAGCATTTGATAGGCACGGGCGTGTCGGTGCAGTGCTGAGCGGGTGCACTTGACGGGCGTGCTTACCATTTGGCAGGCGTGCGTGCAGTGCTGAGCGTATGCTCTTGAGCGGGTGTGCTTACCATGTGGCAGGAAGTTGTGAAGGTGCTGAGCGTGGCGGCCTTCAGCAAACATAGCTTCTGAATAGCGTGAACATAGCTTCTGAATTTTGCACGAATAGTTCCCGAATCGGGCGAAAGTAGCTTCTGAATCAGCCGAAGATAGTTGCTAAATCGGGTGAATCGGGCGAACAGCTTCCCAACCGTGCCTGGGAGTAGTAGTTTAAAATCGCGCGAAATAGATAGTTCCTGGTTCTGCGAAATAGTTTCTGAACCGCAGTTTCTGAAACGTAGCTTTTATGAATCGCAGGTAGTTTCTGAATCAGTCGACGTCCATGACCGGTATGGTCGAAACTCCTCCAAGGCCAACTCAGCCTTGATCTTATCCTCCTGTGCTACCAGCAGCTCCTGAAGCAGCAACCATTTTCCGAGGCTCGACGCCCACGCCTTCTCCGATGGCTTGACACGTCGCATTGCACGAACTAACCAGAAATTATCATGGGGAATCTTAAGCCGCCGAAGTTTGACCCAGCCGTTCCCGTGGCTTTCTCCGAAGGTGCCGTGGCCACAACCTAGGGGTCAAAATAGACCCTAGAGTACCCTGAAAAAACACACGCACCCAGGTTCGAACCCACACAACCGGCGTGCGCCGATAGGCATATACCAGCAAAGCCCACAGAAATTGGCAGCCGTATGAGACCCAAGAGCTGCAGAATAAGACGGAACAAAACAGCAAAATTGGGCAATCAGCTAAGAAACTAGGCAATTCATGGAATTTGTACAGTGCGTTTGCCAAACACCTGATATTCGTCGTGTTGACGTCTAAGGAATGTGGCTAGTTCCGAACATGGGTCAGGCATAGACGAGCCCTGCGCCTTGGACTGCTCCTTCACTAACTCCTCCATCCTCTGCTCCTTGGCTTCCTGGGTAGCCGTTCACATGTTTCTGCCTCAAAATAGCTTGTAGCTTGAAGGGAAAACCACCTGGGCCCCCTGACTTCGAGCAACACTCATGTGCTGAGGGCTGCGGCTACGGGACTTCTACGATTCTACGAGGGAAAATGCCGACCGGCGACGCGGAGACGGACAGGGAGGCGGAGAGAAAGGGGCAAAGCGGGCAAAGGGAAGCCTCCGAGGAAGGGGCTGCTGCTGGCACTCATGAACTGATGCCCCGAACCAATCCCATCCATCCGGAACGCATGGCCCCCGCACCAACTTTCTACCAAGCCGCCACCAGGTGGAACTGCGCCTGGAGCAACGGGACTGAGACAGGGCCCTACATTCCCAACCTGCAAACATGATGTTTGAAACCAGCAAGGGAAATATAGGGACTCTGTGAGAGCCCCTCCCTCCGGACTAGTGGATCCGTATCATAGTCACTTCGATCGCACGAGGGGAGTCCCTGCATAGAAACAAAAACTCAAGGCCTCATAAAATCTGACAACGACTATCGCCTCCGACAAAAAACGTAGAAGGCCAACACAAAACACTCGATGCCGTTTTCCTTGGATCCATTTCAGTTACAGTCGAACGGCGCTTCACCGGATCCCTAAAGCGTGAAGAAGCAGCGCAGGAGTTTCGCAAAAATGCTCCTAGCTTTCACAGCCTAAGACCGTGCCGAAATGAAACGCAAGCGTGCCTCAAAGGGACCCCTTCCAACTGCCCCAGACCTCAAATTGCAAGCGGTAACAAGCCAGCATTCAAAACATACCAACACGGCAGCTGTTGAAAGACCCTAGAGGTCAAGCGAACAAATGATTCATTGTTGACGACCCCTTCCCCTCCCCCCTACACCCACCACCACCAAGAAAGCGTCATTTGGATCAATCAGAAGTTGGCATTAAAACAGGAATGGGCAAAATGAAGGGCTACGTTTTTTGGGGCACCCCCTTTGGGAAAGGGACAGCCTCCCCGACAAATCCACGTTTTTGTCGACACCTCATTCCTTTGGACAGGCTGTCCAAAGCAATACCCTGCCTGAAGCGTCTGCTGCCGCTGGTTTGCCTAGCAAGGTTGCTTGAAGTCACACTGCTTTCTATCTCGGCGTCAGGTAGGAAAGCCCCTTGAGGAAATTCAGCTGTTCCCCGTGCCCTGTTTGGTCTCTGGGAGAGTTCAAGATGATTAGTCAGCGCCCACGGCGCAATATGATGCGAGCCAACTCGCAGAAGAAACACTTGGCAAAGCCGCAAAGACCAAAGCTCCAGATGTTTCTCAAGAGAAGGCACCAGTAAAAAATGGCTGGCCTCCTTTGGGTGTTCCCTGTACCACCCTTAAACCGGTATCCTCAAAAAACGCGCCCAACTGAGATGTTAGGTTTTGGGAACGACCTTCAGAGCCACCGGGTCCCGGAGCCCGCCTGCGATTGTTGCTTTGCCAATGCCTCCAAAGCCACCTGCTGCGACTGCAGCGCCCGCTGCTCCTTCCGGGCCTTGCGTGAAGAGGAGGTTTCGGAGCCCCTGGTTCTCAGGGATTGTGGCTCGCTTTGTTTGAGGGTACCCCCTTTTCAGTGGTGTTCAAGGGAAACCAACAGGAAAAAAACAAATTCTGGCGGGCCCCTTAAAAAAGAGACACACGCCAGTGTAGGGAATGAGTTTGAGGGACAATCCCCTGTGGGTTTATCTTCAAGAGCCCTCCGCCAGGTGAGTGGTTTACGCTCCAAACAAACCACCTCAAGTGTAGAACGACCGCGAACATGGGAATCCCGCGGAAATTAGGGAGCGAGCATTCCAATTAGTTACACCCTCTTTACGTGGTTTCCCTCTTTACCACCCAGAGAGTGGATCTCACTTGGCTAGCGAATGCTTTGGTTGTGTTGTCTACTCCCGGAAGCTCCCGTTGAGGCTTACCCCAGATCCCCAGTTACCAATCGAAGGTGGCCAAGTAGGCCTCTCCATTCTCCATTTACCTCGCCTTGGTGGGAAACATGGTCAACGCATGGAACCATGTTTGTGGAAATCCGGTGGGGGCTTCCGCTGCCCAGTTGCCCGATCCGAAAGGCAAGAATCGGAACTTCTGGGGTGACATGCGGACTCGTGCGGGTTTTTTCTTGAAACCCCGAAGGCCCCAAGGGAGCCTTCGAGGGAGCCCCGAGGCCAAGGCGCCAGTGCCTCAACCTGCTGCCCGCTCTCCAAAAACACCGTGCCGCTCTGCGCCCGGAAGACCCGCTGCGGACCATCCACGGAGAAGCCCGCCTCACGCGGGCGAAGCGGGCGATTCTACATGACCCTGGTCTTGCACGACAAAGCAGGCCGGCTTTGTTTGCTACTGAGGCTTGCTGCCCACATAGTAGTGCCATGCTCAAACCTGATGGTGGTCTATGTAGGAATGTAGCTGTCGAGCGAGAGCCCCTGGCACAGCAAACGACCATTGAAGAGCTCAAAATGTGGCAGGCGAGTTTGTTTGACCTTCTTTGTTTGCCGCATTTGCAAGGGAAACCAAGCACGCGACATTCCACAACTTGGATTTAGGCGACTCCCCTTCTGGAATTTTGCTGATAGATCATTGCAGCTGCGGCAAATTCTTTAAAAAAAATGCGACCCGCTCCGACAGCATCCCAACAAAAGCAGCGAACGACGAGATGGTGAGGTGCAAACAAGGACAAACCTCAAACGATTCACGCTTCTGTGACATGTGTGTGTGTGTCAGCAAATCTTCTCTGAGACTGGCGGTGCCCCTGTAAACTTGAATGGACATATTGGCCCCTTCTGCAAAACCTTCCGCAAAGCTTCCGCGGTGAGAAGGATACCTTGCGCGAGCATGTGTCTATAGAAGTGCTTCCGCGGGCCTTCCGCGGCTGCAGTGTGTTGCTACCAGTACATTTTTGTTGACATGTCCACCTCTAAACATGAGTGTGGAAAAACACCTCACTCCCAGGACGGAGGGCTTATTCTTGCATCCCGAGGCTTCAAAAGACCATGAGTGAGGAATGGTTGGTCCTGCTGAACAAAGACGCGAAGTGAGTGAAACGAATCTGCCGCAATCACCATCACCCAACCCTGGGGAAGGCAGGCAAGGCAAGATGCAGGACAAAAGCAAGCAAAGCCAAAGGCAGCAAAGGTGACGACTTGCGAGGGAAAATTGGCTCACAAGCCATTGGTTCGAATCGCTGAATTCTCAGAGCCGAGAAGCTAGCGTCTTGACAGGCTCGCTCTGGGCCTGCTGAACGGCAGCGGCAGTGCCCCAGAGGGCTGCCCAAAGGAGCGCCTTCATTGTGGTTGGGGTGCCAGGAATCCCCTTGAGCCGAGTCTGCAGTTGGCAAGTTGGCAAGGCTAGAGAATGCGCTGAGCCGCCGTCCTTGAATAAGAGGTTGTCAATTAGAATGGCTTCAGCCTTCAGGAGAGGCAGTTCAATTCCAATCCTCCCGAAGCTTGGAAGGGTGTTAAGGAAAACGAAATCACATCCGGCCTTACCTGTTCCTGTTTATCGAAACCACCATGAGCCTTCTTCCCCCCCGGCCATCGGCAACCAGCCCCGGCGCCTCCAGTACAACCGCCTTGGCCTGGAATGGTTTCTCAACTGCCCCTCCCGGCCCACCCCAGGACTCCAGCCAGGCTCCACGTGGTTAGAGTCGACTTTGCCACAAAAATGGGTTTCCGGCTGCTTGCCTCTAAGAGTAAAACTGATGCATAATCCTTGTTTACTAGAAAACCAGCACGGGGGATGTGCCTGGAAACCTCGTCTGCGCCCCATCGAGACTCTCATTTTTTGGGGTAGTGCCTGCCCTAACTTCTGGGCTATGGCTATATAGGCGACCAACAAAAATCACGATCAGCCAGTTGCAGAACCACCTACCAACATGATTGGCCCTTGTGCTCGGGGGGGTCTTGGGCGTTACTGGGGGGACCGAACGTTGTTTGGGCCCCCAATTTGCCGGGCGCAGGGCGAAAAACTCCGCCGCTACTTGCACCAGGTGTCTGAGACTTAGGCGCGGGCCAGGTCCATCCGGCCAGTGTTTTTGTACAAGTTCAGAAGGCTCCTGGCCCAAATGGTTCCGTGTCCCCTGAAACCTTGAGGAAATTCACTAGTTTGAGGCCCCCTACCTAGAACAAAGAAACCCAACTTAGAATGTTCAACCAAGCTGTGGCAAGCCTTCTCATGGAACTTGGAAGCGCGGATCATGCTCTTGACGATTGGTCCGCCTGCTGAGTGAAGCACCCTGCTCGGGAACAACTGCTGGCCAGGAAAGAGATGCTCTCATGCATGAAGCGGCCGACAAAGACTTGCACCACAACCTTTCAACGAACTGGTCATCAAGGATTGTGACTGGTTTACACTTGGACCACAAATGGCAGCCGACCACACTACTTGTCTAGTGCAATGCCAAAATTGCTGTGATCTTGGAGTTGTTTAGACTCATTAGTCGACCAAAACGTAGCCAGTTTGAGGGGGGCCGCTTGTCTTTCACAGGATGGAAAAGCACTTGCAGGCCAAACAGCGTGTCGCTATGCCACTCCCGCGCCAAGCATGCTACATTGCTCTCCCGCATCGCTCTTTTTATCATCAGAGGAGGTAGATGAAGAACTTGACCATTCAAATGGGTCCCGGTTCACCTTGTTAAGGTATCCGGCTGGTTGCGGACTCGTTTTGGACTCGTTTTGGGCTGTTGCGCATGCCTTGAGACCTCGCAGGCCAAGACTTGCATGAGCTTCAGCTATTGTTTCTTAGCATCGTGCAATTCTGCTGTCAGGTCGGGCCGACGGCAGGACTATGCGCAAAGCTTCGGGTCTGCTCTGTCACAGCTCTGTCACAGCCGTCACTCTCGCACCTATGAATCATATAGCTTCATCTCGTGCTGAGTGGTTTTCTACAAAACCATTACGGTTTGATCTCGATAATTCGGGAGGGGCCATCTCGTTTCACTGCAAAATCTCTACTTTCATGGTATTCCGACCGTATCAATACATAGTAAATAGTTAGCATTGGTCGGCCTCCCAAATGATTCAACAAGGCAAGACCTTCTGTCCTCATTACTCCCCATTCCTAGCGTGTCCAACCTTCCACATTGGAATTGTGCTTGGGTCGCACTTTCTGCCGGGGTTTTCTCTGCCTTGCCCACGGCCGCTCCTGAGAGTCTCAAAGTAAGCCGCATGATTGGCATCCAAATCCTTTGCAAGGATGCCAGCGGCCTGCCGACTCGCTCACACGCTCGGGTCATGGGCCATTTTGGGAAAAGGGGTTCTACGACGCTACGCACGTGATTGTCCCTTGGTGCATGCTGGATCCCGTTCATTAGAACCAAGTGGCCACCTGCACTCTACAACATGTTGGGCGAAGCATCTTGCTACATCCCTGGGCACCAAAGAGCTCAAAAAATGCACGAGCTCGAAGACTCCTTCTGACAAAAGGCCCATTGCACCAACTATTGAAAGGCTCACTTCAACTGCAACTCGGCCAAAGGTTCCAACTAAGTACCCTCCTACCCACTGACATGGAACGTGACTGAGGCGTCCGGGAAGGGTGCCTTAGATTCACTCCGCCCAATTTCCGGGCCTGCTTCCACAGCTCCTGGCAAGGCAGGTTTCTCTCCAACCCCAACAAATGGTGTCGGTGGGCACCCCCATGGGTGGGTTTCCCGTCTTCCCTTAAACCCACCAATTCAAAAGACGAGCCGCCCATTTCCCGACACGCAAGCGCCACTTCAGGGCCTCGGCCTTTGGAGGGAGAAGCTGAAAGGAACCCATCCAGGGGCACGCCCTGCCTGCTTTCATGACAACGGCTCGCTCACAAGTCAATTCTTGAGCGGGGATCAGCGCAAGCTTGAACCGCTTTATCAAAACCGACATTCCAGATTCCAAACCTAAGATCTACGCGCAAACGGGTGAGCTTTTTGGGTGCCCTTTTCGCCTTGGCTAGGGAAAACCAACAGGAAAAACCTGATTCTATGGGTCCGATCCCGATTTCGACACAAACCCAAATCCCATCCAGTAGCCCCGCAAGCAAAGCCTCGGACTCGGCCGGCTGGGTGGAAATCTTCGCGCGAGCCAGGTTTCGCAGGCACCCAGCGTACCTCCAGCGGCCAACCACAGCTTCCGGTCCGCTGCGCCATGGTCAAGACTAATTACTTGTTTCGGCGGGGTCCAGGTCTGAGTGTGCATGTGGGGCCAGGATGGGCCAGATACGCGGAGGTCCGGGTCGGAGCTGCGAAGACTGGGGGCTTTTGCGACTGTCTGTGGCGCGCGCGCGACCCTCTGCGCGGAGTGGCGTGCTTCATGTGCAAAACTTTTGGACTTTTGCCACTCCGTACTTGCAGAGAGCGGGTGCAGACAGCTTGTGCAGAGAATTTTGCACGGAGCACTTGGGCAGAGAAACGTGCACCGAGAGCTCGCCCAGAGAAACTTGCATCGTAGCTTGCGCGAAACACATGCATCAGACACTTGCACAACCAGCTTACGCCAAAAAACCTGCATCGACAACCAGCATGGACACACTTGGCAACCGTTCAACCGTTGGACAGTTGGAGAGTCTTGTTGAAAATGTTGCAACCAAACCTAAAACCGGAGTCACAGAAACTAGCTATCTTTCGGGCGGGGGTCTCAACTAGCCACTCCTTATGGCAACAGCGAGGCCGCGACGCCCCCCCCTTTTCCCAGGCCCTGCACCAGGCCGCGGGCGTCAAGAAATAACACGGCCGCCAGTTTCTAGCATGCCAAAACATGTCAGAATGGGCCAGCTCCTTAGCTCCTTCATCAGGTTAGTTTGGGGGACACCCCCTCTTTTCTTCGCAGGACCCTTTCAGATTCCGAACTTCCGAACCCCATGGAGTGCCATCCAAGGAATCAGCCTGAACCCTCGCCGGCGCACTCCACGTCCTCCTCCCCGGTAGCTTCAAAGGCGCTCTGGGACCTGGGAGCCGCGCGGATGTGAAGCGAAACGGACAGCCACGTGTCAGTTGGGCGACCCAACGACTTCTTGGCTCCCCAACTTCAATTGATTCTTCAACTGGTTGTGGATGCATTAATAGTTGCGTGGGGGGGACCCCCCAAAATGGTGGCTTTCCTTTGGTTTCGCTTCAAGCCAACCCAACAAACGGCTACCTTGAACAAAATACACACTGGTGTCTGTGCGTCCGTGTGCGTAGGCTGATCGATTTGCACGCAAACCGCCCCATGTGAATGCGCTTTCTTCGCTTGCGCCGTGCGGTCAGTGAGCCCTACTCGCCCAGCACCAGTCACCAACACCAAGTGGATATGTCTCAGTCGGGGTGCCCCAAATTGAGTGGTTTTCCTTTTGACTTGCCTTCAAACACACGTCCAAGTTGTTCACCTTTGTGAGGTACCTGCCCCAAGCAAAGGGCTACCCCTGTCAAGCACAAGTGGATGCAAAAGATGGTCATGGATGGGCTCGCGCGCGATGCAGGCCAAAAATGCACCATGCCAAACTTTCAATTCAGTTCGTGTAGTGCTCCAAAGTCATTCCTTCGGCCAAATAGATCAGAAAGCCAAACCAGTTTTCAACCACACTCCTGGAAAACAAATCATGGAAGCCGCTTGTGTTCCCCCAATCGGACAGGGATGCCCGGGCTCCGCGTAAAGCTCCGCCGCCCTTTCGCGCTTGTCCAGGTCGAAGTATGCGGTGGCCAGGTCACTGCAAACCTGCGAAGTGTCGTTTGGATTTGGATTCCCTGACCCCCTCCCCTCCCCGCCACACAAAAGCTACCCTCTCAAAAAAAAAAAAAAAAGGACATACACAGCAAAAACAGAGACACACACACACACACCAACACAAACGCGCACACAAACACATACACAGACACAGATACAGATACAGACACAGACACAGACACAGACACAGACACAGACACAGACACAGACACAGACACAGACACAGGCACAGGCACGGACACGGACACGGACACAGACACAGACAGACACACACACACACACAGACAGACACACACAGACACACACAGACACACACAGACACACACAGACACACACAGACACACACAGACACACACACAGACACACACAGACACACACACACACACACACAGAGAGAGAGAGAGAGAAACACCTTGGCACTAAATGGACTAAAACCTTGCCACTTTGCACCCTTTGGAGGCTGGCTGCCCATTAAGCCACAACTAACACCAGCGCTGCATAACAATCGCCTGAGTTACACCCGGAAAGAATCAGGGCGGAGCTCCTCACCTATTTGTGTGTGCGTGTCTCAGTGTCTTTTCTTGAAGCTCAATACCCGTTTTGGGGTGGGTTTAAAGGGCAACCAACAGGAAAACTACCAACATCGGGGGGCCTAAAAAGAAGACAGACCCATTTGTGGCTGGGACTGGCCTGTACTAACCTTCACCTACCCAGGTTCTGATTGTCAGGTTTTCTTGCATCACAAAGTTAGGGTGGGCCTTGCCCATCTTTTTATGGTATCCTAGCGTAGCCCCCCCCCCCCACGCAACATCGGCATTTTTCAACCATTTTTCACTATTCAAATCGTCATCCTTATTCATTTTGCATATTTCCACTCAAAACATTTCATAACAGTCTCAACCTCAAAATCCATCAAAAAAGTCACATTTTCTCATTTTCTATTCCATCATTCTTGTCATTGTTAGGATGCTTGAGTGGAAATAGGAGTATAGGGTGGTTCATATGATATGGTTATTGATGGTAGGATGCATGGGCAAGGTTAAGCTCATTCATTAAAAAAATCAAAAATAATATTGTTAAAAAAAATATCTTCAAAAATAATAATAATTCAAAAACTAAATTTTCAAAAAAAAATATTTTCAAAAAAAGAGGTAATTTTCCAAAAAATAAATTCGCAAAAAGTAAATTTTCAAAAATATTATTCCAAAAATTATGATAAATTATCTTACAATATTTTTATCATAAATTTTGTAGAAATATTATGGGCAAGGTTAGGTAGATAGAATTTTATAACTTAAGTTCAGGATAATAATTCAATTGATGACCATTAAATTGTGTATATATCTTATCTCTTTCATGCATCATTTTAAAAATAATATTAATATCTCTCACGGTATTTTTCACATTAAACTTTTTTCCTTCAATATATGTTTTAATGTCTTCTTTTACATCAAACCCTTCCCTAAAATGACAAGTCAACATCCACAATATACCTTTAATCATTTCATATTTTTTCTTACTGATTTTCAGAAATATTCTAACATAACTATAAGGTGGTATTTTATACACAGTTAAAAATATCAAAATGGCATCTTCAACATTTCTTTCATCTATTTTTTTAATCTCCAACATATTTTCTATTATATTTTGATATCGTCTCCATCTTCTACAAGTTCTACATTCGTCTTCTTTACCCAAAGCATAATCAATAATATTACTTACTATTCCATTAGGTAAATTCAATTTGTATAATTCCATATTTTCTTTTTTGAAGTGGCAACAGTCGTAGCATTTCTTATTGATATAATTATTGATTTCGGTTTCAACCATTTCTATTATAATATATATAGTTTTTATTTCTTTAAATACTTTTTACAAGAAATATTAAATTACTATTTAAATTATTATCATTTACAACTACAATTGCACCTAACACAGTAAGGAATAATATTATTCAGTTCGTGCGACAACTCGTTTGATTTACGTTGCGCTGTCAGATTTGTCATTATATTACCATTTTTCATATCAATAGTAAAACCACATCCGCAGTAATTGCATTGATTATTTATATTGTCTAAAAACCACTGTGTATTTACATAACCTTCTTTAGATATGGTTCTTTTTGCTTTCCTGTCCTGTTCTTTGTAATTTAATACTTTCCTTTCAAAATAACTCATAATACATTTTTGATTAAATACATCATCAATATCTTTTGTATATTTATAAAATTTAACTTTGTTTAAATCTCTACACCTTGTAATTGCAGTCCATATCCATTCTGGATAATTCTTTACCAAAAAATGGTTATAATCAAAAATTGTTATGGTATCATCAATGCTACTGCCTTGGGCAGAATGACAAGTTGAGCAATATGCAAATATAAAATTGCTTCTTATTTTAGCAACTTCTACGGATTGTAAAATTTCGGTTTTGGTATTCTTTAATGTAAATATTCCATCGCTTCCGATATGAACTATTTTATATTTGAAATTTACATTAAACACTGATGTTTTAGTTTTAGTATCTTCCCTACATGTTAAAAATTCGCCTACTTCGTATTCATCTTTTCTATTTTCTAATTTTCTAATTTCATTTGAGACATTTTACAAGTTGTATTTAAAAATGCTATGTTGTTGTTAGAATTGCTTATGTCAGTTGTATATTCGAAATATTTTTCAATAACTTTCATAATAGGTAATTTATTTTCAAAAATATCAAATTTAATATTTCTTAGTTTATCCTTATCTTCCTGTGTGTTAAGTCTCTTACATTCTTTTAACAAAATATTATATTCAAAAATGTTATCTATAATATTATCAGTATATAATTCATAGTCTCGAGTATTTGTTATCTCTTGAACTGGTTTTAATTGCTTGGTGTCTCCCGTTGCTATTATAATTTTGTTGTGTTTATTCTGCTCTACAAATTGTTTTATTCTCCAATATATATTTAAATTACTGAAATAAATTTCATCAAATACGATTACATCAAATTCTGTAAAATCAAATGGTTCTAATTTTGCATCGCCGTAGTTTATTCCAAAAAACTTATTTATAGTCATTGCTTCACCTTCGAATGCCTGTAATAATTTATTAGTAGGACAAATAAATATTACCTTATATTTTTTATCAACCATTTTTTGACATATATATGATTTTCCTGTGCCCGGTAGTTCGCCCCTGATCATAATAGGGTTATTCTGTTTAACAATCTCTATAATGTTATCAGTGTCGTATTCATCTTTAATATCAATAGTTTTACTTTCATGAACTGGTATTTTTATTAGATCATTCTTAACAACTTCATATTTTACAGTAGGAAGATTAATTTCATTGTCTCGCCCAGAAACTTTCCAACCTCCTATATCATTATGAAATTCTAATAATTGCTTTGCTTTCTCTACATTGTATGAATCAATTACAAAAGCATCGGTTTTCACACTATATACATTAATATCGTTGATTATTAATTTGTAAATGTCTTGGTTCATTTTAAAATTATGATGTTGCATGAGTAGTTCTTTAATATATCTATAGCCGTTTCTTAATACTGCTTTATCCTTTAATTTTAATATATAATATGATGCTTTTATATGTTCTCTATCTATTTCATATTTATACTCTTCTTCATACTCCTCTTTACACTCTTCGTCTTCTGTACCTATATGTGATAACCTATGAATTTTGCCCTCTATCTGTGATAACTTATGAATTTTGCCTCCGTATTCTGTTTGATAATGGATTGCTTCATCAATACTCTTAAACAAAATGCTTTGATGCGCGGTAGCCTCTCCCTTCTCTAATAATCCAAAATTGACATTTCCTATTAATTTTTTACTTAGTATATCATCATTTTTATCATCTTCATCTATAGTAGTTTTCCAAAGTTCATTAACCATATCCTTATAGTTTGTTTTATGAATAAACGAAGGTTGTTTATAATATAATACTTTAATATTATATTGATTAATAAACTTTTTTAAAAACTTACCATAAACTAAATTATATTTTTTATTAAACATTAAGCCCTCTTTATTCCCCAGTAACGTTTTTGTCATTATGAATTCAACTTCTTCTTTTGATTTAAATTTTAAACTTTCCTCCAAAAGATGTTTACGTTTAATACGTTCCATACTGTATTTATTTGGTATATTCGGATAGTTAACTTCAATATAATATAATGTTAGATCGTGGAGTTCATCAATATTAATTGCATCATTGTATTCTTTCCAATTGTCAAACTGATTAAAAACTGGTATTTCAGTAATATCTATGAAACCTTTTGTAAATGCCTTATTTTCATCGATTTCAGTTTTACACATTAAATTAAATTTATCCCATAATAATCCCGAAGGTGCTACAGTCCTTGTTTCGTTTAATATTTTTATATCAATGTCATTATAAAAAGATTTGTGAGATAAAATAAATAAAGATTTATTAAAATTAAACATTGCTTTATTCATATTGTTGTACATAGTTTCATTATTTGCTGCGATCCAACCATCGCTGGATGATTTAATTAAATTTTGAGTCTTTATGATATATGTTATCTTGTTAAATTTGACTCTAATTTCATCAATAATACCTGTGTATTTAATTCTGGGTTCATATCCAATATTTATCAACTGGAAAAATATTTCTGCCAAATCATTATCTTCGGGTACTAAATATACTTCCCTTGTTTTATCATCAGTTTTTATTTTGAGTATATCATCTATACATTTAATCATTTTGTATTGCGGTGGTTCCTCTCTTTCATTTATATAATAATCAGTGTGTGCCTTTATAGTGGGTAGTTTTGATATTACTTGTTTTTGTTGTATTTTGCTTAAATCGTGGTTTAATGTATAAATATGGTTATTTTTCACCATAGCGTAAAATGTTTTAATATGACGGTTTCTTATTTTTGGGTTATATTTGTAAATAAGTTCATTTACAAAATTAAAAATTCTAACTTGAATATTAAACTGCTTAAATACTGCTTCCATTTCT